ATACAGCATATAAATAACTGCAGCTGTGAACTAGAAGTCTATTTGGTTAAACTTAAAACAGATTAATTTCTGTGTCAGCTACACTCGCTTATACAGAATTGACATAGGAGAAGACAGCCATTTGACAGCTTTCAAGGAGTAAGGGACATACAAAACCAGAACATCTCACCTGGATTTGAAGAGTGCAGACAAGAAATTTGGAGACTTTTATTCTCTTTTAATGTCTAACTGAGGTGCTATTAAGCAGTTCTTGGTATCTCTGTTATTCCTGAGTAGCTGAATGGAGCCCAGCTGACTCAGATGATGAAGAACTGTGGGACAGCTCAAGACAAGAATGGGAAAAACCAGCTTCCAGACTGCATTGAAAGTGAGGATGGCCTTATTCTTACACCCCTTGGCAGGTACCAGGTGAGAGAAGAAAGATTCCACATCGGTATCCTAAATTGTTCTTGACAAAAAAAGTTGTCCTACATCCAGGGAAATGCAACTTATCTGGGGCTAAGAGAGATGCCTGCATAAAGGTGTTTCACATGGGAGCTACAAGATAAGGGGTTTATTTTCCTGTTTCCAGATCATAAACGGCTTACGTAGATTTGAAGTGCAGTATCAAGGTGATACTGAGCTTCAGCCCATTCGAAGCTATGAAAATGCCACTCTTGTCCGCCTCCTGTTTCGGTTATCCTCTGTGCTTAACGCAAGGGTAAGTACAGCACTACCTCCCTCTTCTGTTTTCCATTGCAAGTTTGTTCTTCACTGTACTTGCACATATATGAAACTGGTTTGTTCTTAATCTGTCACCTTTATTGTGGGCTGTATGGGTATTCCCCAATAGTATCAGGCCTGCTTCTCTACCTGTAATATGACATCTTAAATGTAGTCTTTATGCTTGATGTTTGAACAATGGAGTATCATTCAGAATGAATGTTTCTGAAACAGGAAGAGCAAATCCTTTTCTTCCACCTTGCTTGTCTGCAAGTCTGCACTAAAGCAGTTCTAATATTTATGAGTACATTTTGATTACTTCCCCCCCTCATTTCCTATAAATGAAGAAAAGTGCAAAGTAAGTTACACTTATTTTATGGCAATAAATAATAGAATACTAATGTTTAAACTTTTCTTACCTCAGTTTGCTGATCAGATGGATGCGCTTTGCTCCAGGGAAGATTTTGTTGGCAGACTTTGTCGCTACCATCTTACCAAGCCCCATCTCATACAGAAAATCAGGTGTAGTCCCATGGTGAAGGACAGAACAAGCCAGAACTGGGGACCAAGAATCAGTCTGAGGTTTCTGGCTAGCTACAGAACTCTCACTTTTTTGCTGATGATCTACTTCATTGCATCGTGGTTTTACATTGGGCCAGTGGGCTGTACATTCATTATCCTGATCGGCTATTTTCTTTATGCCACAATAATGACTTTTTTCTCTGAAAGATGGAAGCCACATGAACACTAATTTCCTTGTTTCAGCTTACACTTCTAAAAATAAATGTTTTAAGGATAAACCTGGGATTTAATGACTGCTTGAATTACTGTATCAGATCTTTCTAAACTATTTTTTAATATTAAAGTTAATTGAGTTTTATAAACAAATGATGTGGTCTTGTGGCGTAGAGATAATCGAAGTAAATTTTACTTTTATAAAAGCATTCTGTAGAATCTAGTGAATTAATAGTTTTTTTTTTGAGGGGGGAAGAATGAATATTATACTGAAGGGAACTTTAATCAAGAGCACTCTGGTCAGCTTACACAGAATAGCTGAGGGTCTAGAGTTTGATCTAGAAATACAGTTTCTTCTAAACCACCACCTAGCAGGTAAAAAGCTGGAGACATCTTGCTAGAAGTATAATGCACCCATAGTCTCAGCACTAACCTGAGCTACATTTTAACAAATCTGATCTGCACACAAAATTCATATGCTTCAGCTATACTAGTTGGAAGCACAGGGAAAAGAAGAATGCAACATTATTTGCATCCCACAATTCTAGAATAAGGGAGTCCCCTTCTAGGTTACCACCTCCGAGGTCATGGGGGTTTTGGGGGGAATTGGAGGGGGTCTGGTTTGTTTTGGGGGGTGGGGGTTTTCTGTTGTTTTGTTTGGTTGGTGTTTTTTTGTTACAAGCTCTGCTGTTAGCTACTATGAGAATCCAAAGTTCAAACCAAACAGTGCTGAGAATGTTGGGAGGTGGATTTAACATTAGAGTGGAAGGAATATTTAGTGCTGTACTCCAGAAGCAAAACTAGACGCTCCCTAGCAATATCCATGACACTACTACATATAAGGTTGGCTTTTTTTTTTTAAATGTAGTCATGTACATCTCCATGTTAAATGCCTTTATGGTATATCCCTGGCTTGTCATCACAGTACTTACCCCCATGATGACACAGGAGTCAAACATCTGACTAAAGAGAGTTCCTCAGTAAAAGGTATGGCGGGTTTCTGGAGAGAACACATTCAGCAACTGCAAAACATATGTTCCTCAAAACATCTAATCAAGGGTGAGGATCTCAGTAGTGACTTACTGAAAAATGGCATGACCTAACAGTACTAAACAATAAAAATCAGGTGTTTTCACTGTTTATTTTGCTATGTCAAAACATCCCTATTTCCCCAGGACTAAGGTGCTCCATTTCCCCACCAGCCTGTTCCTGCCCTCACAGTACAGCACACAGCAAGCACAGCTGCCTATGTACTTCTGTTCCCGTGTTCAGTCTCACTCCTTCCTGCAATTTTCATTCTCTCTGAGATATTTTTATTAACACCAAATGTTCTTTGGGGCAATATATCAAGAGATACTACAAAGAGGAATCCTGACAGATGAGCTTCCGAAGGTAACTCAGTCAAAAAAACCTCAACCATTTTGTGCTCTCTATAAAAATATGCCATGATTGTGCATGTGGGAGAGACAACTAATCAAAGCGAAATGAGGTTCAGTAAGAAAACAGCTTTATAGGTTATAGCTAATCACCATCTTAGGGCCGTTCAGCTTATGCTGGATGTGAAAATCAGCATCCAAAACTATGCTGCAGGAACAAAAGCATTCAGTAGTATGAAAGTGAGCCCACAATAACCATTTTTGCTAACAAATCAATCAGTTTGCTTAAGCCTTAGAGCTGCACGAGGGCTGCATCTCACCATGCTCCACACCAAGTGTAAGAAAAGTTACTTCCTACTTACAGTCATTGTCCTGGCTGTGATGCTATAAGGTAACTGTCCTGGTGCAAGTTTGATTTGAGCAATCTGGTTTTGCAAACTTGTTTGAACTGCCACTCCCATAATCAGCTCTGCAGTCACAGGACTTGGGTCATCATTTCTCTCTTTTTTTCTGCAGACAACAAGATTTCTACCTCATCTTCTGCAATGACAAGTTCACAGATATTAATTTGACACACTGTGGGTACATGACTCACTTCCAGTTTTCATGATTTATCTCCCAACTGAGAAGCTGCTGTGTGTCAGGATGCCTACCCCACCCTCAGTCTAACATCTCACTGCGTCTTGTTTGAGGGAAATTGAAGGTACTGCAGCTACAGTGACAGGTCTGAAAACTGCACTAGCCAATTTATTGTAAATCTGAGGGACATACATTTTGTATCTACTTCCAGATATGTTTTAACTTGTTAAGAAAAAAATGCTGTAAGTAAGTGCCTTAGGGTAGAAACAGGGTTAAAGATATTGCCAGGGTCTACCATTAATTTCTTGGATTATGACTTAATTATGTATTATAAACTATGTTGGTGCTGCTGATTCTTTTGCCCTAAGGAAAGAGTTGGCCATGTAACAGAACTGGTTAAAAATCTACATCTTGCAGTTGTAGACACCATTACTAATCTCTTGACCAGGTCTTCCAATTCACTATGGGGACCATAAAGATAGTGTTGCATGGGATGAAAAGCCATGGTTTCCTCCCCTAACCTTCAAAGCCTTTAAGTCTTCACTTACCATAGAACAATGTAAGCATCATCAAATGGACACAACAGAACTGGTATCTATGGATCAACATGGCAAGAGCAGTATAATGTTAGCATCCAACACAGGAATAATAATAAATTTATTACAATTGAAACAAACAGATAATGCATTAGTTCATGTACAAAATACTGATAGCATTCTGCTGCCTCAGTCAGTGCTTACTAAGTACCCACAGTTAAAAACATCCTAAAACTGATGACACCACACAGATTTACAAAGGTCATAGCAATTTCTTGACAGTACTGGAAGAGAGCTCAGCTACTCTTTTAGGTTTGCTGCACAATCCAGGGAGATGGAGCAGGATGTAATGGGAACATCTGAAATCTGAAATTGTTCTGTACCAGGAAATTAAGAGTGACCAACTTAAAAGCATAGGGAAAATAAAACCATCACACTATGCATGAAATTAGTTACTTGTGGCAAATGTTTTCATTAGCAGTACCCAACCATAAGGCAGCTGATGACCAATTTGAGTGCCCATCATTGCTCAAGGCCCAAAATCTTAGTTGTCAGTTCTACTCCTGAGCTATGCTACCTTTAACTTTTCTTTTTAAACGAACTGATGAAACACAGAAGCATTTTCACTGAACTGCATCAACTCCCAAAGGAAGCCAGACACCTCAGAGAGACTCTTACTAAAAGAAATGTAGCTACAAACCTGCTGGATTGATTTGTGTTACTAGGGCTTTATACTATTGGGTTTGTTCCCCCCCACCTTTACGTACACATTTACTGAGTTTATAGAAGAACTCAGTGTGCACATTAGTATCTCTTCTTTCTTACTCCTGAAGTGAGGCGATGAGAAACGTGGTCCATGCTAACAAAATACCAACCATTTAAACAAAGTAGTGTTTAAATAAGCTATAAAGTACTTTCCTCTCCTCTATTTTGTTCCCCAGCCCCAAGCATAATTATCCAGATCTCTCTCAGGTACTTGAGGGATGCCTTAAAAAGCTGTAATTCATCCCATCTCTGGGCAAAACTAATAGGCAAAATGATTCCTGCAACCACTGACAAGTTTGCAAGCACATTCTAGTTGCAGCTAATTCATTTCTGGGGTAGTATCAGGTCACAAAACATACAGTGTGAAACGAATACTGGCACTGAGCAAACTTTGAAGCAAATTAGGACATTCTCTCCCTACTCCCTCTTATACCAGACTCCCTGACGGAAGTCCACAAATAATTTCTTCTCTAAGAAGACAATAAAAGCTCATCCTAATACAGTCTCAAGAACCATATATACACATTTTGTATATTTGAAAATCCTGGCAAAAGTCCACAGAAGCAGAAGATAAAAAGCATGAAAACTAAGTCTAACATCAGGTTCTCTACTGCACCTGACACCTAGAAACAAAACAACATAAGGCTTCTTTCTTCTGAGGTACCCTCCCCAAAATGCGATCTTCCAATGGCACGTGGAAGAGACCAGCTGTTGAGACCTTCTTTCTTGCTTCCTGGTTTAGGAAGTGAGACGTTATGCAGCAGAGAGGCAGGCCTGACGAATACTTTGTGCCCAGGTGTTTAAGAGCGCCGTGACTGAATGCTTGTCCGGAAGCTGCAATAGTTTGGAAGTCATGTACCGATACACGGACTGCAAAAAGGGATTGGCTGCTGGAAAGAAAGAGATAACAGATAAACAGAGTTACAACAAAAACAGTTTTTAAAAGGCTAATATAAGATGTTCACATTTCCATGCTATTACTGCATGCACGTGCCCAACAAATGTCATGCTAGCATCCTCATACCATACTGTCTGGGGTTTTTTATCCACAGAGGGCTCTGATCTGGATAGTCCGCTGGAACACTAAGCTGTAGTGGTGGGACATTTGGAAGATTCTTGTCATCTAGAATGCAAACACAATTCCCATCAGAACAAAGCATTCCTTGCTGGTGAGAGGTTTTTTTTGTGCAAGATTCAGTTTGGATTCTAGACTCTGAACCCCAAAGAGGAACCAAGCTGTACATGTCAATTTTTACTGGAAGGCAATCTCATTGCTTGCTTTAGCAACACTCTTAAATTCTTGGAAGAAAAGTCTGGCAAATGTAGCTCCATCTCTTATACGTTTCTGCACCTTGCCACTCTCACCATTTCATCAGCTGAATTTCACTAAGTTAGACACCTAATTTCTGAAAATTAAGTGCCTTATACTGATAATCAGGACAAAACCAGTTCCAATTTCTCAAACGAGGGGAGGAGGAAACAATCTCTTTTCCCCATTGGAATGCAAGAACAAAACAAGTTAATAGACTATAACATTTTATGATTATTCAGCTGAGACCAAAAAAGATGCAATATGAATTTCTTTCTTGAACATATACCACTGTCAGTGATCACTAGTACAAATCAAAATAGATCCTCCCAAAAATTAACTCAACATTTATCTAGCTCTGTCCTAGTTGCTGAAGGCAGAACAATTCTCACGTATCAGTATAGGTCAAATCAGGAATAAAGATTGTTACTAGCAACAAATTATTTTCTAGCCACTAAATGAGATTATCAGCTGCAGCTTCAGTGCAAAGAAAGGCTCAATCAGCATGAATGAAATCTCCAGGTGTACCCTGAAGCACAGAATGTCATGATTAAGCAGTGCTCTGAATCTGGAAAGTACAGACTTCATGTAGAAGCCAAAGGTTAGCAAGATTCAAGGCTTTTAGCGAAAAACCCTTCAACCAAGCTCAGCACTTCTTTCTGAATTCAGCCCTTAATTTCTTCTTGCTTACCTAGCTTGCATATGAGATGAACTGTGCCATTATTACTGCAGTGGGAAGGGTCCAGGTTCACCAGGAATTTAGGATTTAATCTTGCAACTTCTCCTTGTAAGACATTTGGTATGGTTTGTCTTTCATCCTCTTCATGTTTCCGTTTTCGAGGGGAAGCAACAGGGGCCCTGTGTAAAATACACACAAAAGGCCTAGGTGAAAACATTGTGCCAACACTGCATTTGTCAAATATTTTACAGCTGTAAAAAGGAAAGCTATAGCTCACACCCATCCATAAACCCATCTGTTCTTTTAAAAGGTAACTGTCTTTTTTGTTAAATAATGAACATACGACAGACAGCAGGTCATGATACATACATGATCGGTGGCCCGTGAATTGCAGTCATAGCTGGCATAAATGTACGGTAAAGAGAATGGTTGAAGACTGGTGAACGGATGTTGGCCAAAACAGCATCCAGAAGTGGCTGACACAAGTACTGCTGTTTGGTGGGGGGCACTGCAGGAGGCGGTGGAGTAGGCTGAAACAGAAGAGAAGTCCCTTTTCTTTTAATCATCGCCAAAAAAGGTATCTCTACTATTGATTCTGCAAAATTTTATAGCAGTAATCTTCCAATGCATGAAATGCAAAGAATTCTCAAAACTGCATACAGTAACATTAAGGGGGAAATAAATAATAACAAATAAACATTCACAGCTCTCATTTAGGAAGTCTGTCCTGAAATCCACTGCAAAAGTTCCTAGAAAGGACTCAAGTCTTTGCACAAAGTACAAGAATTTGAAAGTTCAGCTAAAAGAAACATACAGGTGACTTACATAACGTAAATGCTTGCCCATTTTTTTCTGTTTTCTTATTTTGTCCAATCTTACTTGAAGTCTTAACAGCATGAACAACAAAAAATGCAAAAAATTGTCTTGCCAAATATTATCACCTTTTGGAATTAACTGTTTATCTTTTGGCAGTTCACAGCATTACGTACCACAGCCATATCATTTTTCAGCTTCTCCAGAGCAATTTCACATTTCTGCAGCGTCTTCAGAGGGCACCTGCAGAAGAGGAGAAATTTCATCACCACAAAACAGCCACCTTGGCTGAAGTATTTCTGGTATCTAAGCCCCACATATAGCCTCAATGCCAACAGGGCTGGATGCCAAACAACAAATTTCTGGAAGAGCTGGGGAATCTGATGTCCAGCCAAAAGGAAAAAGAGTTACCGTTTTGAAGGGTCAGTCAGAATATCCAGGAGACTCTTCATTTTACTCAGGTCTTTCTTCCTATCTGAAATAATATCAGACACAAACACTGACTACAAGAGTAGCTTCCGTATTTGCAGACAGGAATACAATATTATGTTAAAAGTGAAAGCATGCATATCCAAAACAAGTATATCCATTGTCTAAGCTCTATGTGTCTCAAAAACCTAAGTCGTAAAGGAAAACTGAAGAGAATTTAAGGATGAGGATTTTATCTACTCTTCACAGTAAATCTTTACAGTCATAAACAAGAAAAAGCATCTAACTTTCACTGCCAATTTTAATCCCTGCAATAGAAAGCATCACAAAAGGCAAGTTACTGCTACTTTCAGCAGAAGAGATAGCTGAAAGAGAGAAATGTACAACTAAACATAGGAAACCTCACCTTCATTTTTATCTATTTTATTGATCATCCTCCGGAGTGGCTCAATGTATTTTGATAGCTGTTTGAGTTTTTCCAGATACTGTTGCTCTTCTGACTGGCTAGAACTGGCTGGACTCATGACAGAATTCGGATTTCCTGGCAAGACATAAAGACTGCATGTCACAGGGATGATAAAAGATACTGCAGAACACCACTATCGCATTTCAGAATCTGGGTCTGAAATGTGGCACTCCCAAATCATAGCTCACATCAAATATCCAAATTCACAGCTGGATGCCCTACAGTTCAAGGGCTTGTCCAACCCTCTAATCTTTGTGTAGAAATAACATGTTGTGTGGACAGAACAGCAATTCTCAGGTAATACGTTTTTGTTCTGAAACAGTGCAAAGTTTCATATACCCATTTTCTAGGTCCTCATTTTGCCGTCACTCTGGTGCATTGAACACTAATTCAACGCATTGAATTTGCTGCAGTTTTCCTTAAGTCAGTGCTTTCCAACTGCACAGCACACAACACCGGTATGAGAAGGAGCTAGCATGTTACTTCCATTCACAGTATCAGAAACTGCTTATTACATCTGGGAGAGAGAAGAGGACAAATGTCAGAGTACACCTAGGAAGATGTTTTGGAGCAAAGCAGCCTGCCACTTGTGATTAAGTGGTTACATCCTTTACAATTGCATGCTGGTGCTACGGGTTCCTTCCTGCACGGAACTAAGGAATCATTATGCCTCTATAAACTCACTCCATTAAAACAAGTATCATTCTTTTCTCAAAAGACTTGGAAAGTTAGAAAAACCCATTACACAGTTCAGTGATGAGAAAAGAAGTTTCAATTGATTTTGATGTGAGACATCCATGTTGTTGTGTTATATGGTGCATGTGCCATGTTCGTTACTTGCAATGCTGACTGCTTTGTAGAGCTCTTTAAAGTTTACATCATGCTAAACAATACAGGTTTTTTTGGGAACTATTAGTTACCAAAACATACCCCTACTCATGGTCTGCAGTATAGTACTCAGATCATTTACCTGGAGTGTTTAAAGGACCTGGGGATGGGACACTAAAGTTCTGAGGTGTTCGTGCAGCTGCTGGGCTCTGGGATGGCTGCGGAGATGGACTGGGGAGAAAGCTGCTGGGTGATGGAGCTGGGCCGGAGCTGAAAAATAAGCATAAAAATCAAACCTGCCAGAATATGACAAGGAAGCATGATCAGTGAGCAGATATACTTTTAGCAAGCTTTGTTACAGCACTGTGTAGCTCTGCCAGGAGTAGATTTGGTGAAATTTTCTTAAGTTTCTTAGTTTCTTTATTTAAAATAGGGCTTTTCAGACTGTATTCAGCACAATCCTCCCTATACTCTCCCTGAAGTTACTAAAATTCATTGACTTCAATGGAAACAGTATAAGATACATTGAATGCTTCTGAAAACCTCACCCTTACAGCACTGACAAAGAGTCTAGCTCACCTGACGTTTGAATTTGGCTGAGAAGTTGGCTGGCCTGGCTGAGGAGATGGCTGCGGCTGTGGTGGTGGAGGCATTGACTGGGGGGTTTGAGCTTGTTGGACAGGAGATGGGGATGACATCATGGTAATATTGTTCTGGCTGACCTGAAATGTGGAAAAAGATAAGATCAATAACAACAAAAGGGAGTAAAGGATGGGAACCTAACTAAAAGGCTTTACCTATGGAGAGAAGCGTATCCTCAGGCCTACAAGAAATTAAAACGTTAGTTTCCTGTTCTCTCCCATAATGACAGTCCCACCTGTATTACTCCTAAGGTTCTCAGGGCAGTACTTCACATCAGCTTTACTAGAAATAACCGCTAAAACTGCACATAATTTGAATAACTGTATAATAATAGTTTTTTATTTCCCAAACCATCACATTGCAATTAAAATATCAGTAGTGCCACCTGAAAAACCTGTACTTTATTAGTACTAAAGAAGAGCAGGAAGTAAAGACAGTTCTAACTTAAGAATTAACAGCCATAAAAACTCCTCCTCATTTTGACATTTGAACTAGTCTTCAAAGTCTGTCAGACTTCACTGTAGCTTCCAACTGGTTTTCTTTAGGAGGAAGGAAGGAAACGAGCACACAGTAAGCCCAATCACCAACATCTTGTTCAAACATTCAGCTTTGAAAATCTGGGCGGAGACAGAAACACGCCAAACTGAAAGCCTGGATGGGAAAATAAATGAAGTAGCTTTCTGACCTTAGGAGCATGATGAGGTGTGTCTAAAGGACAAAAAGATGAGTATTTCCAGAGCAGTACCAAACTCTGGGTAAAAATTAAGTGTATTCTTTACACAATAAAGTGCCAGAGCCAGATGATGGTCAAGTTTAAGTAACTTCTCAATTTGTTCTAATGGACACTTTTTCCCTTGATCACTTAAAACTAAACAAAAAACCCCCTGTACCATGGCCAGCAGCACAGTACAGTAGTGCAGATATTAAGTGATCATGTTTGTTTAAGGGACATACAGAGTTCTTGTGACCTGAGGTTATAAACACGTACATACAAAGATAAACCAAACTAGCCTGAAGAGGCTGCATATTGTGACTCAGTAATCCAAGTGTCCATTCTGCAAGTCACTGGTTAGCATCTTCATGAATTAACAACTCTGTTTCCCTCGGTCTAAAGCATTTTTAAGCAAAGGTCCCAGTAATCCACTAGTCCCAGACGCTTCATGGGCACTGCAACTTTGTGTTGTCCTTCACTCACTCATTAAATACGCATCTAAACCATCCAACTGTTTCCAGAGGACATGATATTTAGCACACTAAAAAGCAAGTATTGCATGATCTACTTTTGCACGTACACACTGAATATGACAAGAAATGCTTTGCCTGGAACATTCCATTACAGCATGCAAGAGGTCACACTTTGCTAAAAAAAATGGGCCCAAACAATCTCTAGGTAGGTGCAAATGTAAAACTGCTAAATCTGAAGATACTGCTATATAATCCATTACAGCATAGTTTAAAAATCAAACACAGTCTGACATACTAAGATTTTCTTTTTTCCATTTTCAGTGACCCCATTATCTTCTCAACCTCTCCTGCAAAGATAATACCTAGAACAAGAGAGGCTGAAATGATGTTTTAGATCAGCTGTAATATCTTCATTTTCTCCATAATCAACAAATACTGAGGTTGTGCTTACTGTTTCTCCTAGGAGGTAGGTTTGTTTTTTTTTCCCCGAAACAGCACACGTCTCCTCAATAGTAACGAAAGCATTTCTGAGATTCAAAAGCATAGACTGCCTCCCACAGAAACCAAGCATCTCACCGCTCTGGAAGGATGCTAGGATGAACACTGAAAAACACTCCCTGATGGTTTTACAATTCTATTTAACATTATATTGAACATTAAGAAATTTAGAACTTACCCATATGGATGCTGGACCCATTTTTTCATCAAGTCAAACTAAGATCACTTTTAGTGGCTTACCATTTCCTGAAAATCAGGCCCCTTTTAAGGATCTGAATTTGGTTACATAAAATTACTTCTGAAAACTTAAATCCTTGTGTTTGGGGAAGGAAGGAGAAAGATTTCATTAGGGTTTTTCCAGATTTAAGCTTCTGTATCTACTTCAACACCAAGATCCCTTTACATTCATTTACAAATATTACAGAAAAGCAAAGAAAAGAACATTCAGCATCTACTCTGCAAATAAGCAGAGAATTAATTAGATTTTTTTTTTACATTACCCCTTCTGATTTAAGTACACACATAGGCAAATGGCTTTCCTTCTTCCAACAGGTTTGCTCTGCCAGCTTAATTTCAGAATACCAAAGGCTAATGTCTAATATTAATCAAATTGTGACGTTGTCAAAAAAATGAACTCAGGAGTGTGCGATTCTGAACTTACTGCCTTACTTTAATTTCAAAGCAGTTAGTTTGCTACATAATAATTTCAGTTGTCTTTCTATAGAACATCTATAAAAGAGCATCTATAAAGCATCTATAAAAGATGCTTTTAACTTCAGGTTTCTACATTGTTTGCAGGATATGGATTAAGATTACAAAAATTTAATGAAATTTTGACTTCTAGAGAATGCTCTTTCCAACTAACTTCCTCTAAAGAAAAGGCTTAAAGGAAAAAACAACACAAAACCAAAACAGAAAAAATACCAATAAACCCAAAAGACAAAAAAAACCCTAAACAAACCAACCTTCCTCCAGAGCTTTAACTCCATTGAACTCATTTAGCTCCTCATTTAACTCCAGAGTTACTGACCATCTTCCACATACATAAGGAAATGCAAACTATGTCTTTTTTCACTTACAGAAGGGAGTTTCTGTATCTACAAGCATATTCATGGACAGCAAGTACAGCCCACTGAATGTATATCTGCTCTGCAACTCTACAGTGACCTGATCATGGCACCAAGCCCTACTTTTCTGAAGTCTTGCCCAAAGGATATTAGGCTTGCATGACAAAAGTTTGCACTTAGCAACCACTAAACCTACGCTATTCTTAGTGTTTAGAGCACACCTTGCTGGAAGATAAACTTGGCTATGAGGCCTACATCCAGTCTGCTGAGTCTCAAGCAAGGAACAGCACACAGTAAATAAGGCTAGTCAGAGTTTTTCAGAAGCTCATAGTAGAAAAAGTGTACAATATGCAGAAGCTACCAACAAGGAAAAGGAGACTGCAACAAGGAAGTGGTGGGTAATGAGGAACAGTAAAAACACTAAGTCAAAAGGAAAACTCTAGAAACCATTACACTACTTACAGTGTACTTACAGTTTCAATGTTAAGCCAGTATGCACAGCTTTGCCTACTCCGTTGCAAACTGAGTTTAAAGTTCACCATTATGCCGCTTTACATGACAAAATGTCAACTCTGCAGAGCTTCAAGTAAGGTCACATACAAGTTTCCATATTCCCAGACAGGCCAGTATCCCTTGCTTCATTCTAATATTAACTCAGGTTTACTTGGTTTTCTCCCCTTACAATTTCAGTTTGCTGAATATTTCTGCACCAATAATAAATCTGAAGTTCACGCTATTGCAGACTGCAATAATTTTGTTATCTAATTGCTAAATCTAAGAATTAATCTTTAAGTAAGTTTTGGTAAGAGCAGGTTTCTTGAGTGAATCCAAATATGGAGCATGAATCTTCTCTTAGCTGTTCAAAAAGTGCCACTGACAGTAGTTCATCTTTGATAACTATTCAGGCTCGAACTTTAGCTAAGTTTAAAAAAAATTCAGTTCTAATACTCTGGCAATTCAAAAGACCAGGAGATTGTGGAACACAATGCCATATCAGCAAATACATTCTTTTCATTGAAAAGACAGTAACAACAACAAAACCCCAACTAAACAAAAAAAAAAAAAGCACTGCAGAATCAACTGAACCTTGAGGTAAAAACCCCACAGATTGGCATTTTTGTCATATGGAGTAAAAATAGCCACTCAGTATTGATACCATATCCTCTTTTGTTGAAAGGGATTCTTCAGTGCAACACCAAGGTGTTTTTCTAAAGAGAAAAGACACTCTGAACTGCCTACCACCAAGTCTAAATGACTTTTGGTACTGTAGTCAATGAGATGACAGAGACTTCAGTGAGTAATTAATAACCAGATATATACTATAGCCCTTTACTCCTGTTGTGAACACCTGCAAGGGCTCTGATGACAAGCCAGTTGTAACATATACAGCAGGCAGTATTATTAAAGCATTTTATGAAATTAAGAGGCATAAATGACAACACTTCTAAGTTCTAATCTACCTAGAACCTCATCAAAATGATTTGGAAACAGCACTAGAGATTCATCCAGATCCAGAGCTCTCAAGTATATGGCATGTCAGACTGGCTTTAAAAACATGCTTCCTGCCAGCATCAAACTGTGACTCATTCACTCACCCATTTTACTACCACCCGCTTAGGAGCCATTTTCACTCCAATTATTGTACATAAAGAAATTTCCTTTCCTCTTCTGCCTTCTCTAGTTGTTCAGTCTTCTACATCATTTTCACAATCCTTGGAATGATACTGAGAGTGCTCCTGGATGACCGATTCACTTGGTATCACAAACCAGTGCTCCTCAGTAATCACAGACATGACAGCACTAGAAGATCAGCCTTATGGCACTGAATGCTTGAACTAGAGCTCTTCCATTATGACACAAATATTAAATTTAAGCCAATCTAATCCTCAAATATCTATCAGAAGGCATCATCATCAAACCAAACACTGAACACTTCATATGCAGATAACTGTCTCACTTACATATAACTGCTACCGTGAATAACGTTCAAAGTAAATTCTCCTTTGACTCAACAATTATGCCTGGGGTTTATTTCAATTAACTTAAGAACAAGGACCATTCATCTTAAACTAGAAACAACAAAAGATGTATTTGCCTAGGTCTGCAGAATCTTTGTGGTTACTGTATCCACCTTAGCAAATTCCTGAGAAAAGGCTGTGCCTACTAAACTTGATGCAGCAGCACTAGGAAGCAAAGTTTCAGACATTCCACAGCCCCACAACAAGCTTGCAAAGGAAACAAAAATCAAAGAGTCAAGAAACGTTCATTAAACCTATGAAGAAAATGCAGTGGTATTGAGAACTAAAATTGCATCTGGCATTAAATTTGAAAATTAGCATCTAAAAGAACTAGACATGCGGTTCAGGAATAACAGATAGAAAAAGGCAGTTGAATGCTATTCCACCATCATGATGTGGATTTAAACTACCACTGATCACAGGGCTCGGCACACTTTAGCAGAGGAGAGCCTCATCTTGTGACCTCGTGATAAGAACTCAGTTCTATTTCTCTCCATTCTAGTTCTGCTCCCTGAAAATGACACGTTGCTTGCAAAACATGACCATGAAGTCTTTAGCAGATGCAGACCTGCACCAGGCAGATGCAGTACTCATGCATCTTCCAGTAACAGCAGGATAGGTGTTGCCAGCCTTGTCTACACAGATTCTTCTCTGGTACAGGTACAAGTGGAATCCTTCTGGCAGTTCCTCCTACACAACCGTGAAGCAAAGGAACAGCTCCATTTTTCTTGGTCCCTGGTATCATGCCAAGAAGCTACTCAAATTGGAATCAGCCAATTTTACCATTGATGAAAGAAGGAACTGTAAGGAACATGAACATGAGTGAGGTCCCAGACACAACTCAGCTAGGACACTGCAGTACCGACTTGCAATACTCATGAACGCACAGTCGTGGAGTACAGACAAAAACTAAACAGAAACCACAAGCTCTCATTTAAGATTTGACTCAATTCTGAACATGGAGATGACATACATGTTAAAATAAAGATCTGTATCACTTTAAAAATGCTTTATTTGATATCCCAAACTCTCAGAAAACCTATTATTTAAAATGAAAAAGGATCCATAAGAAACCTTAACAACCCAATACCCGGAGTAACACCAGCAAGTTAGTTGTCTCATAAAAAAGTTAACTTCCTGCTTGAAACCAAGTGCTATAGAATCACATATTGAATGCTTTGCACCATTCCTGACACGACGTGCTTTGACTCAGTAAATACCTGTGGCATTTGCTGTCCGCCCAAAGGAATGGAGCTTGGCGGTGTAGCAGACACAGCGGTGGTAGGCGGGAACCGTGGTCTTATTTGCATCCCACCTCGGGCCATAGGTGCGGTGATCATCTTTGAGGACAGAGGGACAACAGACAAAAGTAATCGCAAAACAAGAAATGCAGTGCACTGGCAGGATGAGAAGCACATGCAACCTCCAGGAATTACAGGGAAGGAAAAGCATGAAGGGAAGGTTAGTGAGCTTTTCTCTAAAGGTTAATCTAACATGCTAGCATATAAATCAAACTCCTTTTCATCCTTCCTATCAATTTTCGGGAAGCATCTAATAAATTCCAGGTAGTATCTTGAGAGAACTGATACATAGATTCAGATTCTTGGGTTGAGGGTTGACTATGCTGACATTTATATGAAGGGCTTTTCCTAAATTTCGTCTGACATCGTAAATTTCTAGAATTCTTAGAAATAAGTACTCCAAAATTGTTGTCAAGAATGATCCATGTAAGAAGCTATATAATGCCATAGGTTTCTGATGTGCTTTCCCCCACTGAGGGCTCAAAGGATTTAGCAGTATTTGCATATGCCATCCTTCATTATAGAAGTATTTGGCTGACACTTCAACAGCAGCTGTGAGTACAAATGCTCCACAGTGAGCAAGATTTCAGACCAACCTATGATATTATAACAATGCCAAAGACAACAAAAAGGACTTCTGTGTTTGAAAAAGCTATTTCTTTCCTTCTATTACCCAGAGAATAAGTCAAATATATCCTTGTAATCTCCATCATTCTGAAAAATATCCATTCCTCTATTACTAAGCTACTCTAAAATATTCTGTTATGACTCTTAGAATCTGCCTTGAGCTTATTCATGCACTACTTGATTCTCCAGATATATAGACTGAGCACATCCTGAAGTGTCATCACTTAGGACAAGTGATGAGGTTAGCACTGGAATGGATTTGTATTTTAAAACAGTATTAAGACTATGCTACTCTGCAGTGTCTAGAAGCACCTTTCAGACCCATTAGCCTAAGTAAGCCACACAGATTTAATAATACATATCTGCATAACCCTCTGTTACTTAAAATTTTGATATTACACCACATATGCTGAGAATTTACAGCAAATACAGCATATTTTTGAGGTAGTATTCAAGTAACTTTGGGAGACTCACTTAACAGTAAAAGAGCTTCTGTTTTGTTCTTCAAAGATCTACAGTAAAGTAGTCCTCTGGGCTACTTTTTTTTCCAGCATACGTATTACCAAGGAACCTACATAGGCCTTAACTAACCTACTTGTTAATGAAATCTCCTTTCAGTAAATGGTTTGAGGCATTCTTGTTTAGTGTTCTATGTAAACAGACTGAAGCAGCCAGCAACATGTCTCTAGAGAATGTCAGAGAATGCATGTGCTTACAATTGTTAAATAAAATTAAATACAACATAGCAAGACTGAAAAAGGAAGCAATAACTGATAAAGAAAAGAGTGTCAAATTCAGCACAGCTGTTAGTTCACAACATCAGAGCAATGCAGTCCCTTTCCATCCAAGGCAAAGAGGGATGGTCAGAGACAGGATTTCAAAAGAGAAACAAATGAGAGCACTTCAGACATCACATACACACATGCACATGTACACACACAGCATGCAACAGCCACCACAAGCAAACACAACAACCCAGCACTGGCACAAAGCACAGGTGGATGCTACAAAGTGCAGTGAAGAGCTACAGTATCAACATGAGAGCTGGTGAAGCAACACACAACCCTAAAAAAACCAACCAATCAACCAAACAAACAAAAAAAAAACCTAAACAAAACAAAATTAAAAAAAAAAAAAACCCAAACCAAAACAAAACTGGGAAATTGCTGAGAGGGGGAGGGGAGGGAAGGGGAATACATCCTTCCAGGCACAATCACCCCATCTTAGACCCTCGTGAATGCACATGGATCTCTGGAGCGTGTGAAATCCCAGGGATGCTGCGGTGAGCCACATGTCCCACCTTGGTCCTGTTTCTCATGCCACGCCACCAAAGTGTGAAGATTAGATTGCTTCCTCCAAGGGCAAGGACATTAGAAGCATATTCACAGTTCAAGTGTCTGGCAAACCACTAAACACCAGTATAACAAACTGCAATTCAAAGGCTTTCAGCTGATTGCTGTATTAAGGTTGGTCAAATGTGCATGTACATGCACCCAGTTTTAGCTTTGAATTTTATTTTTTTTTAATAAACGTGTACTTCAGAAAGCAAGTGTATATATAAAATGATACCAATTCCACCACTCACTTAACAGAAGTGACCTATTTTTTTCCCCATTCTCCAGCTGATTTACATGTATGAAACCTGTGATCCTTTAACAAAGGAATTGGGAAAGGGGGTTCCAAAGATTGCATCTGGTTTAGGAAAAGCAATATATCCATGCAGCTGTTCTTGTCAGTCTAAAAACAGAAGACAACTAGAAGTGCTCAAGTTTGAAAAGATTTGAACTGAAGGCAAATCTGATTTATCTCAATTCACAGAATTAAGAATTTTACCCCATAACAAGAGAGAGCAAGCAGAGGAAGAGAGTTTCCCTCCACTGAGAGATACAAAACCCATTATCTGATAAAAATGAAGTGGAATATAGCAAGTAGAATCCTGTGTCTGTATTTTTCTTTCATCTAAAATCCAAAAATTCAGAATTCCATAAATATGCAGTTTCTGGTGAGCACATGTAAGCACAGCGCCACTGTCATCCCACTAAAGGCAGCTCTGATTTTCAAAGAGCAAGAGCCAATCTGCATTCTGAGCACGCGAGGGAGTGGCACCAGAACAGTGATTTCAATTTTATTAATAATTACCTCCAGTTGATTACAGCTTTTCTCTTGGTGCTGCAAGCACTCATGTAGCACACTGCAGTCACTAGGACATTGCTGTGTTTGTTTCTCAGCTTCACCTGCGAGTTACACGCTCTCAAGGACTGGATACCCAAGCAGGGTAACATTGACCTGTGTGGTGTCTTTACAACTTCAGAGAACTTCAAAACTCAGGTGGCTCCATGTTAAACCTGGAAGTGCTTCTACTTTTATGTAGGAAGGAGGCACAGAAACTTAACAGAAAAGGAAAAATGCAGCCATATCAACCAAAATCCCCAGTTTGAAAGCACCCAGAGATTAAGTTTAGAATGTAACAAGCAAAGATTAGGATATGGTTTGTTTATAACAAAAGCTTCCCTGACCCAAATAAAGAAATCCAGGCAGATTTATTAAAAATGCTGGTGCTAGTGAAGAATGTACTAAATACAAAGCAAAATCTACTCTTAGAGGAAACTTCTTAAAAATTAAAGAAAATCCACATATACTCCCAACACCAAAGCTGCATTGTAATATTCTACACAGCCACAATCTTAAAATAGGATACACAGAAAATACACAAGTACAAGAAACCCATTTAATTATTGGACTCCACAGCAGTAGACTCATTAAAATAAATGGACTAAAGCTTGTATGTGGAATTTTCTAAACTCCATCTGTGACAGATAATGAGCAATCCCTGAGTTTACTACACATGTCTGAACAAAGCTGCAATACAAAACCTGATGTCAACCATCTTATCACCTGAAACTTTTCAAATGCGCCATGCTGTTAAGCCACTGGCATATGAATTCATTGAACAGGAGAAGAATTAAGTTGACTCTACATAAGCACAACCCATCTGCTTAGGAGTTGAAAAGAGCACCATTAAGTTAGTAAAAAGTAAAAACGTCAGCCTCCTTCCAGCCTAAGTCCCTGCAGCTCCCACCTGGAAATTATTTGAGAAATAAACCAGTTTTAATTCACATTTCAACTGTAGAAAGAGAATTCTCCATTGCTGCCATTACTGTACCAACTGTACTTACCACTGCTCAGCTTTTACATCCTGTGTTACACTGACACAAGCAAAAGGACCAGTACAGAAACAGAACTTAGCCACCAACAAGCACATGGGCCACATGAGGGTTATGATAGTACAAGACACTATTCCTCTTACATGTTTGGGAGATGTATGTTAAAGAACCAATTGTTATCACAGTCAATGTAAAAAGCTTCCAAAGGTCTTATTCAATCTATATTATTAGTTGCGTGCATGCAGACATGGAATGTCTGGGTATTGAAAAAGACCTCTACCATTTATCCTAGTCAAACCTCATTTCACCCATCTGCCTCAGTCTCTTAATCTACAAAGCGGTGATAATTGTACTTACCCGCGTCTGTAAAATGCCCCAACACTACAGAGGTAAGCCATGAAAGACTATTTCATATTCTTGTGGAAAATGGGATGAGAGTTTCAGATCAAGCCATTCCTAATTTTTTTCCCCCCATGTATCCTTCGTATCAGACACATATCAAAGAACAATCACTGGGGCTAAGAGTGTATTGCAGGATAAAACTGTGTTACACAATCAGCTTTCACCCAGCACTTTTTAAAAATGTAACTCTGCACTTACAACACATGCCATTTGTTCTTCACAATTCACATCCAGAACAAGAGCAATCTACATCTACTGCCCATTTCACTCAGAAAAAGAATGAAAGAGGAAAGGAATGAAAGGGGAGTGCAGAGAGATTTCATTGTCTATATTATTTTTGTAGTCAATACATAGAGATGGAAGGGGTAAATCACATGAGTAAAGACAGCAGGCAAAGATTCACAGTACAGAAATCAGTTTATGCAACAAGGTGGTCACCTAAGAAAGTTTAACGAAAGAAGAGGTGATACACTCCAGGTACCAACAGTCAGACTTGTAGTGTGACCAGAGAAGGATGTCTTATTGAGGTGCATTCCTGTGTCAGTACAGGCAACAATCTTACCTACTTGGGACAGAAAGCATGCACAGAGAGGTTGTCAGTGAAATCCTGCCTCTGACTCCTAGCAAAGGAGAAGCAGCATAAAAGCCCATATCTCTGTTACAAAGGGTATGACCAATGTCAGACCCCTCATCAGAAAGCCACCAGAAACCCATCTCTATGCTTATCTCTACCATGCACTTGCTACAGGCCTATAGCTAGTGATACTTGCTTCTGGTCCCTTACCTGCCCTGAGGCTCCCATCTGAGCAGCTTGGGCCTGAGCTGCTTGCACTGCTGCTGCTGCCTGCTGCTGCTGGACCAACTGAGCTCTTACCTAGAGTGAAAAAAGAAAGAAAGAGTAAACATACATACTTCTGTTTCAACTACATTGACTATGCTCAAAAAAGGGTGTGAAGACAACATCAGCCTCACATACATTATCCCTAGTTTCTGAGCTTTCTTTAGGAAAAGAAGTTCCCATGGTTTTAACATTTAAAACAGTCTTCCATAGACTGTACGCCCAAGGTTCAATTTCTTCTTGCAACTTCTCTTCTGTACCATCAGGTCGTCCTATGACAATACCAGGTACTGTAGCTTTCTGGCAAAGATAGTTAACTGCATATATGTTGATTTACCCTCAAGCACACTGTATTAAGCACCTACCAATAACCAACATTTCCAGTGTTTACACATGCATTACGACTGTCCATGTGATGTATGTGACCTCTAACTACTCCTAGCATAGCTGTTAGGAGCACAACATAGATATATGGACTTGCCCATCTGAGGTCAGTAATTACTCAACTGTGGCTGACACTTCACTGCTCCCCAGCAAGACCCAAAAGAGAAGTAACAGTTCAAAAAGCTGCACCATTAAGAGGATAGCCCAGCAAGAAGTTCAACAGAGCAAAACTATTGTCTTGTCCCCATTCTCCTCAAGGCAGAATACAGGAACTACCAGTATCTTAAACTTTGACCAGAACTTCTAAGCATGGCAACAGAAGCAAAGCCAGCACACTAGAGAGCCAGCACTGGGCTCCGGTCACACACACTGGGCATTTCAAAGTACTTGCTCATGTTCTAGAGCAGGAAACATCACATAGATAGTTTTTCTTTAACCAGAGTTGTTTGTTTCCTTTTTTTTTTCTTTACTTGCCTATTTAAGAGTAAGAGAAGAAATTATTTCTAAATATTAGCTGTATAAATGGTTTTCAGAGTTCCAAAAGTCCTACTCTTTGACACAAAACTGTTCTCTACTGGCAGGCCCAGACATAAACCTTTAAACTCAAAACATTCAAACTACAGATCTCAACCTGTGTTTTCTCCTACCTCATTATCAGCAAAAGTCAAAGACTTTGTATTTCTCTAGAGGATCATAATGAACCAACAATCAGCTGGTGACTAGCCCTTACCTGCATTGCTTTTAATTGCTGTGGTGTTAGAGTAACAGGCATAACCTGACTAGGAATTTGTCCTGAGATTGCCTGTGGCTGAGACACCATGGGCTGGGGTTGAGGCTGGGATTGTGGTGGAAGCTGAGACTGTTGCGCCTGAGTAACCTGTTGCTGCTGCTGCTGCTGCTGTTGTTGCTGTTGTTGCTGCTGCATCTGTTGTATCTGCTGTTGCATTACTTGTTGAGGTGGCGGCTGCTGCTGTATCTGCTGTTGTGGTATTTGTTGCTGCTGTTGCTGCTGCTGCTGTTGCTGTTGCGCCTGCATAGCCTGTGCTGCCTGCAGCTGCTGCATTTGGGCAATGCGCTGTAGTTGCTGTTGTTGCTGTTGCTGCTGTATCTGAAAAGCAGAAAAAGCCAGGATGCTGACGTTTCCAGCAATGCAATAGCTGCTTTATTTTTATAGCATAAACCAAGAGCAAACAGAATCCTAGTAGGTCAGTCTGACATTTTAAGCCCAAAGGGAAAGCCCAACCTTTTTATCCACCCAAGCTTCATATATCTCAACTCTACATAGTGCACATCCCATAGTTTCAGTATTACAAGCTTGTCTTGCTACTGAAACTGTTTTGAAAAGAAAAGATGAAGTCCATCAGCTTCTCCTTTACAAATGGGCTCAGAATCACTTTCTTCAAAGGTAACCAGCCTGCATCAACACCACTGTTTACCAGAAACTGCATGAGAGCATGACAGCTGAAGTTTCCTCTTCTCCTTTCAGTGCATAAGGATGATACATGTGTACTGGATGATACATATGTTTTAAAGCAGCGATGTATAATTCACACAATGACAAAATAACCATTTCTAGAGTAATATCAGTGCTTTTAGTTCTTTCCCACATCCCTGTTCTTGTCAGAGTGAAAGACTATCCTGATGTTTACAAAAAGAAAGACACAAGGGCTTTAATTCTCTATTGCTATGACAGAAGAAAGTAACCAAACAATGTTAAACCCTTCCTCTGGGATGTAACATTGTTGGCAATTAACTTGTCAGTCTAAACTGAAGTCCCACACTGAAGTGGAAATGCATCAACAACAGGCAGAGCTGAGATTCAGTACTTCCGTACAAGCCAAGTCTCACTTGTCAAATAACTGATCACAGATCACCTCAATTGCCATTGTAGTTGTTTGTCATCACCTGCTGTTGGTTTTGCTGCTGCTGCATCTGCAGTTTCAGCATGTGCTGTTGCTGTTGCTGGACAGCTTGCAACTGCTGCTGTTGCTGCTGCTGCTGCTGCTGGACGGCTTGCAACTGCTGTTGTTGCTGCTGCTGGACCTGAAACTGTTGTTGCATGGCTGACTGCTGGGCCTGGAATTGCTGCTGCTGCAAAGCCACCTGTTGCTGCTGGAATTGTTGTTGCTGCTGCTGCTGCTGCTGCTGAGCTATCTGCTGAAGCTGAAGTTGGGCTAAAAAGAAGGTAGACTGGACTTAAAACATGAGACCCAAACAGTGCCAGAGACAGTTACCCAGTATAACTCATAATTGAAAATAATCCCTAAAGTACATTAATGTTCTTCGTTAGCAGCATATACTTTTGCTTCCTCAAATGGTTGAGGCACATTAACAGGAGAATTAATGACACTTCTTACTACCAACCTCTACTTCCCACTGCCTATACCGAGTCAGTAACGTAGGTAAAGAATGTAGAAATATGCAGAAGGAAACATGCAAACAGGAAACACCATACCCATAGCAAAAATAGGTGAGCTCGACAAAAATAAAATTCTGAAGTAGGAAGAAAGAAGCGTTTTCTCAGATAAACAGCTAAACTGTTCCTCACTATACTAAGGAAGACATTTATCCCATTAGTTAGCAGTATTTGAAACCAATTCTTCCTGCAGTTCATTTAGTTAATTTAGCCAGAAGTATGAAATTGCTTCAGCACCCTTTCCTTGTGGAAAAGAGGTATGTACTGAAAAGCTGACGTAACAATTTCAGTGGTTGAAGCAAACTGAACACTTACTCTGCTGAGTAGCTGTAGAGACACCAGGCATACCATGAGGGGCCATTCCTGAGGTTCCAGGAGGCTGCTGCTGCCCTGGGAGACTCATCTGCTGTCCCATGGCACCAAGGCCACTCATCCCACTCATCGGTGCTCCTTGGGCTCGGGAAGCCATGCCCATTCCAGGTGCCCCTGCGGGGGGACCCCCAGTTAGGTTCTGCAGGGCATTCATTGGATCTACAAAGAAAATAGTTACCAACAGGCAGCCAGCCATGCAATTGCCACCCCAAAGTCCTCTGTTCACCATCATCCATTCTCTGATCTGTTGGCTTCAGACTATGTTTAGATCCAAAACCCTGAGAACCTAACATTCAGTGCTCTGCTGTGAGACAAAAGGCTTCTGGCACATCTTTCTCTCTCTGCAAATAGAGTGGAAATTATTTAAAATGCTTCAAATCTGCAAAGTTCCAAAAATATTCTAAATACATTAGAGAAAAGGAACTTATCAGTCACCTCTGAATTTATATGCAAGTCAAAACACATATATCCATGAGGATATATACAGCTTGTAACCCCAAAATGCAAGGAACAAGTCCCACTGTGGATCCAATTAGCCTCTTCCTCCTGAGGTCAACACAGAGAAGCAGGGCTGAGACCAGAGGATTACTTTGCTATACCGTTCTCTCCGTAACATCACATTTATTATGCAGTGGATAAATTCAGTGCCTTTCAAGACAATTGTCATAGTCTGAACCCTGGGCACACAGAAAAGTAAAGTCAAAGGAATCGCCGTTCAAGAGGACAAAACACAACATGGGGTGCAGAAGCAGAATTAATCGGGTACAGAATGTAACATCCCTTCTTTTTTAAGAATACTTCTAATTTCCAACTGCCTAGACTGGATATTACTCAGTCACAGACACTGCATACTTAGCCTACAAGAGGATAAAAATAGAGGATCCTACTATGCTTCTAACATAAATTGCTGTAAAACCAGCATGGAGGCAGAAGGCGTGATCAGATCTAACCTCAGGAAGTGGCAGAGTGCGTACGCCCCACAAACACAGCGCTTCCCTCTGACTCAACACACTGAGGAACCCAAAGCTGGTAACAGGGAGAAACCTGGACTGCTCAGCAGGAGATGAGTTTCACTTAGGGTAGTGAGCTAGCGAACAGGGATACAAACAAGTCTACTATGTTACATCCAAAACACTGTCCAAGCCTTTCACCCTCACCATGGATCAACTCCAAAGCTATCATGCTACCTTTCCTTTCCTCCAGCAGCATTTAATATTCTAGCTACAAAATATACCTTCTTAGTACACCACAGCCCTGATTTCTAAGCTGTTCTGTTCGGAAATGGGAGGGCAGGAGGGGAAGAAAAAGAAATAAAGAAGAAAAAAGAAGCTCTTACCACTAACTGAGGCTTGAGATTTCTTATTGTCTGCAAAGGAAGAACAGTTAATTGTCTTTGTTGATATCATCACACAAATTTGGCCCCAAAATACATTAACCTAAGGCAATTTGATTACCAGGATGCTATACAAACAACGGAAAGCAAGCAAAAAAACAGGAAGAAACTAGCATGCACATTACATGAAAATTTTTAAAGCAACTTAAAGAGTCACATGCAGAACCACACATACAAGCCCTAAAATTTACTTTTTTTGGGACGATGAGATAAACAATCCCATTACTGAGGGGAAATGAAAAACCCACAACCCCCAAACCAATTACTTACGAATATCTCGAAAATGGATAATAAGTCTGGCCACAAGAGAAAGATATTCCTCCTAAAAGTGAAAAATGAGGATTTTAGAACAGGAAATAAAAACAGAGCAACCATGACTTCCTGGCTTTCTGGTATTCTTCCTCAACATAACAGTTTTTATTTTGCAATGTCTGTGGGCTTCTCAGAGCAGTTCACTTGTGAGGAACAGTCTGTTAATTAACTAAGTGAGAATATTTTTACTAATACGTCATTATGATTCTTGGTACAAGAAAGCCAAGGAAACACAAAATTCACTGGAAAGAACCTCCATGACAGTCACACTTTCAGGATCACAATGTGTGAACATAATTATAAACCAATAAATCCATTTTCCACCTCTTATCCACTCTAATTCCTTTTTCTTAAGGATTGAACCTGCTTATTTGGTAGACAAGCTTACTTTAGTCCTTGAACTATGTCACATTCATACTACAAGAATGTTTTTTAAGCCAAGTTAGTATTACAAATACAAGTTATCAACTTTAAAGACTAACGTATGACAAGTGTCAGAAGTAAAAAGACAAATATTCTTTGCAGAATTTTATTAGTGTGCTTCATAAACCGTAAGAGAAAACAGCACAGGGCTGAGATAGCCTTCCTGCCCATGAAACTACTACCTCACCAGTGAGGATGCCATCAGCAGGCATAAATTTGTGACATTAACATTATAAAATATTCACCAAGACAAGTTCTACCTTAAATGTGCCTTGTCTGGAGACAGCAACAGTATGCAGTTTCTTATAACACAGCTCCAGGAAATATGTCTGAGTTTTGGCAGAGTCTAGAAATGTACCTGATAACCAGACTTTCACAGAGACCACAATGTTTCCCTTGGTCTTACTCTTGACGCAGCCTTTCATTGGTATTCTAGTTTGTCCTCACCACCAAACTGGTTATATGGGGTGGTGCTACACAGAAGATGAAGGAAATTCTATGCAACTCACTATACACAAGTCTTTGAATAAGAATTAAGTGTGGTCCCACATACGCATTAAATGCTGCAGCATCAGTAAACCTGTCTTGGACTGAAGTCCAGTTGGATGCAAAACACCTCTCTTCCCCTCAGGATAAAAGAAGCACATATAAATAAAAAATCCTGCATAACTCTGTACTCCAAGCAAAGACAGTTAACTAAGTGCCCTGGGTTTGCTATTTCTGCAGTTGTTCCAAACTGCTTTTGACCCCCCTGTAACTTCTGGAAACAAACAGAGATGCTTTACCCTTGTTTTGGCCTTCATAAACACATGACTCTCCATATCTTTGCTGGATTTATTATGGGCAACACCAGCTTTCCTCATAGCATCATCACTGAAAAAAGAGGAAAAACCAAGACCGAGTATTAATTGAGGACATCAGAAAATACTTTCTGTAGGTAGGAAGATCTATAGACAGGGCAGGAAGGGGACAATCAACATAAAAGCAGCAGGTGAAACAGGAAGATGAAAAGAAGGCCCTGGTGATGGAAAGTTGAGGGGAAGAAAAATAACAGGTTTGGCAATAAAAAACTTTTGATTCCCTTACTGTTCTTTCCCATTTACCAGCCAGAATCATGGGGATTTACTGTCCTTTCTCCATCACACCTCTAGTAAATTGGATCCAGATCTGCTCTCTGGATGGGACACTGAATATACACAATGAAAAGGAAAAAAGAAAACCCAACAAACCCACAATCAAACCACACAAACACAAAACCACACACAAAAGGAAAAACTAAACCCTACACATTGCTAAGGACATGGATGGAAAAGAAAGGGCATTCTCAGTTCACCAAGAAGCAGCAATCAATTCAACTATGAAACACACAATGAGATTAAGACATCCTAAAACAAGGAGTTCAGTCAGATGAACAGGCCTAGTTAAATCCTCTGGGCATTCTCATTCTTGGAAACATGTTACTTCCCTGCAAAACCTCTTGTGTTCTAAAACAGCCTAGCAGCTACAGTCTAAATTCCACAAGCAAGTTACCAGGAAATACTTCCACCTTGCAATTAACATCTCAGCAACTAATTTCTCAGTAGCCTGCTGTTGCATGAGCAGCGTGCGTGTAACGGTAGCGGTCCTTGAAAGTTTCAGACAGTCTGAAGGGGGACTACTGTTTTCTTCCCTCTGAATTTCTACCACCTCCCATTCTGCCAGAATGGTGCTTGTACAAGCAGTAAAATGGTTCAGCTTCCCGGTTTAACTCAGCGAGGAGATGCTATAGCCTTAAAATGCAGGAGCTTAGGCTGCCACAACTCACACCCTTACTTTGCAAACTAGTAGCATACAGCTAATCTACTGCAGCCTGCAAAGCAGAAGACAGCAGAACATAGCTATCTGCTGTAAGGCTCTCTCATGGTAACTTGTGTTCAGACACTAAAAAACCCTGTTGTTTACACATGAAGGTTACTTAAACTGAAGCAGAATCTGAACATAATGCAGAATAACTATTCCTCCATGTGTAAACAAGCCTCAAAAAAGTGAGCTGCTCACAAAGGAGCTCTGCTGCAGAGGAAAAAGCTATATCCAATTCATTATTGACACCTCCCTGCTTTAATGCTTTCTCTTTCAGAAAGGCTGCCTGTAAATCCCTTCTACTCTGAATCGTCCTTAACTTCCCAGTCCCACAGTACAATGACAATGTCCAACGCCTGTCATTTTGAGAACATCAATAACTGAGCAGGCAGAAAGAAAAGATTATGCAGAAGCAAGTAAAGGAAGTAACACACAGGTAGTGCTAAGTGGATGTGATACAGACTGATTAATGTGGTATCAGGAACTTTGAACAAAGAAAAAAAATCCACAGCAAAGAAGCTGTATACTTTTATATGTATCCACCTTTTGATGTCATAGAACATGAAAGACATTTTATAATGACTACATCTGCATTACTTAAAAATAGCACTCCAAGCACTCCATGTCATAACTGTCAGCATTCCAATAAAGGGTTAGACTAGGAGGAGGAAAAAATACACAACTTCTTTGTTCATATACTTATCTGCAATCAATATAAAAATATTTATGTTAAAAGACAGAAAATCACTAAAAAAAGAAAAAGACCATTGCTCCAGATCCTTGCAGAACACCAGTCTCAACAACACTCTGAAAACTAGATGGTACCAAAACTTGACCCTCACCTGCCTCTTAAGCACTTACTAAACCCATCATAAGATGTGCACAAAAATTCTGCCTATTTAATTTCATGCAGAACACTCAAAGTTGCGATTTCACAAGATGAAGCATTTAACAGCAACATCAGCTTCAGGAATTCCCCCTCATTCCCAAGAAGCTGTTTCCAGCCCAACGATGTGCAACCTCTCACTCAGGCCAGCTGGTCTAGTTGAAAAATCTTGAAAGACACGTTCTCCTTCAAAACTCCCCCAGCTCCCCTTTCCAGTTCTCACTGCATGAATCAGTTCTTCCAAAAAAACAAAATGGCAATGAGTTCCAGGGCCAACACTACATTAAGCCACGTAACATCATCAAATGCTGCTTCATAAAAGACTATTTGTTCACTACAACAAACTTTTCCTACTTAAAAAAAACAGAGGGGAGGGAGACGGGGGGAAAGGAAGTATGCTGATAAGCCACTAGCCACATGTATCCACATTAAAAGGTTTAAAAAACTCCAAGTAAACACTAACAAATACATTAAACTTTAATCACTTGATCTTGTGCGCATGCTGCTGTCCCACACAGCATTTCAGTTGATCAGCAGAAGACCTAAAGCAGGAATCACCCATGTTACTTCATTCACATTTGCTTGACAGAACACATAAAGGCCTGAAGGGCCTCCTGCCTTTAGTTATAGAGGGGAAAGCAAAGGACCATCCAGTCTCCCTGAGGCCTTGTTCTAACACTACCTTTCTTTCCTATTCTGCAGTGATGAAAAAAAACCCTTCCCATGACACAGAATCGCCCCTCCACGGCTTCACAAGCACATCCTGCAGCAGAAGTTACTTCCAGTAGAGGTGACTAGGTAAGAAGCTGCCCCTTCCAAGCTATGTCAATACAATTGTGCAGTCAGCCGTACTGAAGAACACCAAAGCTAAAAATAATCACTGTTCATGAGTTATTTATAACGTTGAGAAATTTCCCTATCAGGTTCACTGCATGGCAACCCAAACACTTAGAATGAAGAGGTATTGCAGAGACAGCAGCTTCTTCAGTCAAAATAAGCACTTATAAAACTAATCCTTCACTTTCTACAGTCCTGCTTGACTTTTTCTGCCTGAATTCTCATCAGAGAACTCTCATCCAACCAAAGCTGGAATATAAAATGAAGGCTGCTTTATCAACTGGTTTTGTGAAATGTGTAATAGGAAGATCATTTAACCATTTAACCATAGGAAGATCATTTAACCATCATTTAACCATTGATGCTCTCTTCTTCCCCCCCCCCAAAAAAAAAAAATTCTTTAGCTGATCCACTCATCTCCTGCCTGCTTGCTCCTCAGTCTCCACTTCTACCTCGTTTCATGTGCTTTCCACATTTTCATCCTCATTTCTGATCACACGTGTTCTTTCTTCTCACCTAGCTGAACCATTAGCCAAATCTTAAGTGAGAACATACATGTCAAAACTTCAAGCAAAAAAAGTGAAAACAAAAATAATGGACTATCACACAAGTTACATCCCTTTTCTACATGCAACACGATTCCCTTCTAACATAGCTTGGGGCAGGAACCGTAGACAGCCACATACCAAGTTTCCCACAACACAACCCAGTTCAGATTTGTCCTTCAGCCATATCAACATTTAAAAGCATTAAGGAAAGGTCTTTACAAAGGAGACTCCCAAGGCACCAGGATGTGCCTGCTCCTTGTAAGGGCCAGAACGATGGGGTGGCCTGCAAGCGGGAGTGTATATTCACACTCCTACATCATTGGTGTCTCCTGGAACAACCTGGGAGAAGCCAAAGCTGCTCCCTGGCCTCAGCCGTCTAAGCTCAGGCTTTCCTGGATCTTGCAATAGCATGAAGGTCCTGCTTGGGCCTGCAGTTATGCAAGAACCTAATACTGAAAAGGGCTTCTTAGGTCATCAAACACAGTATTCTTTCAACAGTAATAACCAAATCATACACACTGACCACTGACACATTCATTAGGACGCCTATTTTGCACACCAGCCCTGAAAGGTTCAGCCATATAATGTCATTCTTTTGAAAACAAACCAAAAATCAACCATAAAATACAAAAAAAACCACCCCGAACTAACCCCAAAACTTAAATTCAGTGTTATAATGGAAACCCAAGTGTGAAATAGCAAAAAATTAAGACTTCTATACCCAGAAGCTGTAACAGCGTACTCAAAATGAGTTACGTGAATGATTCCGTACATTTAAGTTAACTTTTAAGACCAAGTATTAATATTCATTTGACAAATAAATAAAACTTGTTATTTACAGGATGAACTGGAAGATATACATAGAAGACAGTATATTTTCTTAACTGTTAGGAATAACTTTCCCACAAATGAAGAAAACTTTCAGATGATTTGCCATGTATTTATTTTAATTACCTCCCTCTTCCACCTACTATGTAACCCTCACTAATGGCAAAACTGAAAACTGAAAGGAAGTACTTGCATACAGAGCTCTTTTTAACCAATATATTGCTTCTATTCCTCATTCAATAAACTTATCTATTATAAACTCTACTTCTGGCTAGCTTCACTTTATTCTAAGCACCAACACGGAACCAAGCCGAGTTGTTTTCAGATATCTTGAACATACTAATAACTTTAAAAAAAGTTTTTGGTCATTATAAACTTATCCCAGTAACAAGACTGTTTGCTTTTTAAAACAAGATAGTGAATGCAAACATATGATGTATATTATAAAACTGAATAAAGCACAAGGAAGAAGCATCATTTACAGACACAATCTTAAAAAAAACAAACAAACAAAAAAACCCCACCCAGAGACAGTGCCAATACATCTATAGCAAAAAGCACACAGATCATATACAGACCCCTTTGCACATATATAGAAGATAATAAACTGAGGACATTTTATTTCTACTTTTTAACAACAAGAATTAGAAGTTGAAAATTACTGTCATCTCTTCATATGGCATTAACCCTAAAGATTAATGGTCAGTGGTAGTTTTTTTATCTCTAGCTATATGCTTCCATTGAAACATTTAGCAGCATTTACTGCTCAGAGAAAAAACAGTTCCCATTTGCAGGGTAAACGCAGAACCAAAGGTTTATTTCATTAAGGTTTGTACCTTATTACTCATATTTATTTCCTCAAAGTTACACAGCATTTGAGGGCACTTTTGTTTGCTTATTTTGATGAAGCAGTAGAAGAGGAGGAGAAGCAGCAGCATAATCTAAGATTAATGACTTCAGAAAGTAAAATATCAGTTCTGAGCACCAAGAAAGTTTGCATGGCTTTGACAGACACAAATTATCGTATTTCTTTAATGGATACCATAATACTTTAATTCTGAAACATCTTAAGTAAAACCCACAGCCAGGCAGTAAAACTACATGCAGCCAAACAGCATGCTGCTTACATGTCAGACGGTCTGGTTTTAAATGTTGATTCTCATAAGCAACAGGGCAAGATCAAGCTTCTCAAGTATGCATACATGCATGTTGTGGTTTAAGCCCAGCCAGTAACTCAGAACCATGCAGCTGCTAGCTCACTCCCCCCCGCTTCTTCCTCCTCCTGCTCCCAGAGGGATGGGAAGGAGAATCGAAAGAATGTAAATCCCATAGGTTGAGATAAGAACAGTCCAGTAACTAAGGTATAATACAAAACCACTACTGCTACCACCAATAATAATAATGATAAGGGAAATAACAAGGGGAGAGAATGCAATTGCTCACCACCTGCCGACCGATACCCAGCCAGACGCGAGCAGCGATCCCCCAAGTTTCTATACTGGGCATGACATCCTGTGGTATGGAATACCCCTTTGACTAGTTTGGGTCAGGTGTCCAGTCTCTGCTTCCTCCCAGCTTCCCCTCCTCCCTGGCAGAGCATGAGACTGAGAAAAGTCCTTGATCAGAGTAAACAC